GTCTGTGTACTACTTACATTTGCCTAGTGCCCTCAGAGTCTAGAAGAGAGAGTGAGATTCCCCTAGAGTTACGGATGGTTGTGAACCACCATATGGGTGCTAGGAATTGAACCTGGGTCCTCTGGAAGAGCAGCTAATGCTCTTAACCACTGAGCCACCTCTCTAACTCTAAAAACAAATCTTACACATCCTTACATTTCAGTTTTTATTTCAAAGGGATGAGTTGTGTACAGGGGGTTAAATGCTTTGTAGACAAGAAAAAAACTGTTAGAATTCACCTACTCATCATCATCCTGTTTCTCCTCCTCATCCTTCTCTTTCTTGATCTTTTCTGCCTTGATGATGTCGAGGAGACACTGTCTTGCAGTGCTCTTCTCCATCCTTGGGCTTTTACATTCTTCTGACATCTTCTCTGTGGTGTCTGAGCCTTGGAGTGAGTGGTACAGGTTTTAGGACCAAGTAGCCAGTAGTCACCTAATGTCAGGACTTTGACCAATTAGGAGTCTGTGCATTAACTTCCACCCACTGCAAAAAGAAACTTCTCTGATGAAGACAGAACAGCACTAGTCTATGAGTATAAACCTAAGTGTTTAAAAGACATCTTAACAACATGTTCATTTAGCAAAAACAACAGTAGTAGGCTCCCTTTTAGGGGCTATGACCTCTTTAGCCATGGTTTCTTAACCAAGGTTACAGTACCCGGTATGAATTCTACGGAGCAGTCTCGAATCCAATCAGGAAACAGTTGGTTATGCCTTGCCTGGCAAGTTGTTATTGTAATTTATGAGGCCCACAGCTAGGCAAGGTTGTTCATGACTTCTTCCCTAGGAGCCTTCATAGCACCTTTTGGCACTGTGAAAGCTAGCCAACAGGGAGGATGCTTTGTACATAGTCCCATCTTGGTGTCTTTATGTCCTACAACCAAGGTGTATGGTGTCTTCAGCAATTGGATCTTACCATGTAGTCTGCTGGGCAGCCAAGAGTAATGATAATAACTTGTATTATTTTGGGGACCTTTAGGGCCTCACTGCTTATAGGAGGTATCCTACAGTTGGCATTGGGATTTTTATACAATCTGTGGCTTCTGGGAAGACCATTATCTACCCACCCGTGCAGGGTACCTCCTTTAAACTTTTTTTCCCCGAGACAGGGTTTCTCTGTATAGCCTTGGCTGTCTTGGAACTCACTCTAGAAAAGGCTGGCTTCGAACTCACAGAGATCCTCCTGCCTCTGCCTCCCGAGTGCTGGGATTAAAGGCATGCGCCACCACTGCCCGGCTCCTTTAAACTTTTAAAAAACAAATTATATGTTTAAATAACTTATAAAGTAGCTTGCAATAGGGATTTTTCCTAAGTCTTAGTTTGGGTTAACACTTCCCTTTAGCCTGTCTTCTCTGCCTGCCTTCCATCCTGCTCTTCCTTGAACCCCAGTCTTCTCCCCTCGACTCTCATATCCCTTGTGCCCTACTGTCCCACCTCCTTCTCTCTGATGTCCCCTTTCCAGCTCTCTGTCCTCTGCAGGCACCCCGGTTAAACATGCTGGTGTAAGATTTGAAGCTAGAATCTACACATGAGAGAGAACATGAGAGAGGCATTTCTTCATCTCCCTACCCAAAATAGCTCTGAGCCCCAACTTAATCATATTTCGTTCCATGAGATTGGCTCTCTCTTTCCCACAGTACTTCTCTGTCAGCAACCCAATACAGTGTGAGTTAGTAGAAGGATGAACTCTGGTACTGTCACTGCTGTACAGTTCAAAGAGAAAGTTGCTGAGAACGTTCCTGGCCCAGGAAAACTATCCAAAAAGTGCAATTGAAGCTCGGCCTCGGAAGATAAGTTCACTGTGTGCAGAGGAAAAGGAAGTTGAAGGAGATTGTTAGAGCGGGATATGGAAAAGGAGGTCATGTAGAAAGAGGTTAGGTTGGCTTGGTCCGCTACATTTTCCCCTACTAGAGATAGGATCTTGCTATGTAGCCCATGCTGGCCTCCAACTCGTGATTCTCCTGTCTCAGCCTCCTGAGTGCTAAGTTCACAGGCCTGTGTCACCACACCCAGCTTTTTTTTCCTCTTTGACTCATCATTTATTTGGAATTTACTATTTATGACCATTATACTACTACATTATATGGCATACTATTTAAAATGGTAGTTGCCCAGGGACTATGTTGAGATTGTCCCCTAAGAATTATGGTTTGCAGAGAACACTATCAACAAAAGTAGACACAGGAAAAGGAGACAAAGTAATGAACTTTGTGCTATTTGCCTGTGGCGTTTTCCTTGTTTTCCTTGTTTGTTTTATTTATTTGGGGAAGGGAATGCTTGTGCAATGGTATTCACGTGAGTGGAGGTCAGAGGACAAGCTGTGGGAGTTGGTTTTCTCCTTCCAGCATGTGGTCTGGGGATTGAACTTAGGTCATCAGGCTTGCCAGCAAGTGCCCTTGTCTGTTGGGCTTTCTCACAAGTCCTTGCCTGTGACTTATTAGTCTATGTTATGAATATTGTGAAAGCTGTTTTGTTTCTGTATTGAGATCATGAGCAGGCTATTAACGTATTCAGCCGTTTAAGGTGAATTAGTGGTAGGACATAATTTAGATTACATGCTCTGATTAAATGGACAAAATGGTTATAATTGGCCACACCCTTGACTCCTTCACAGACAGAGTATTTATAGAATTATTAAAAATGTCTTCCAGGAACCTGGAAGTGATGGAGCACTTGCCCAGCATGCATGAGGACTGGGGTTTGATTCCTAGGACTGGGGTGGTGTGGATTCTTCACGGCATTTTTAGTAACAAGGCAAAATGTTCACAATATGTCATTTTAAAAAATGTTACATAGTATCGCAATTTCATAAAATATTCACGAGTGTATAAAAATAATAAACCTATTAACATATTACTAATGGTTAACTTACTAATGGCTAATTAGTGGTTAATTACTAATGGGTAATTAAATATTTTTTCTAAAAGGAAGGTGTATGTGAGGGGGCACAGTAAAGAATCACTGAAATGGCCACTTGGTAAGGTTAAGGGGAAGGATCTTACTGTGAATAAGAGAGAAAAAAAGAAAAAAAGAAAACTGGTTATGACCAGGAATGGGGGGCAGAGAGTGACAGAGACAGAGTGTGAGAGACCGTAACAAGAGTTAGGGAATGGGAGAGAGAGAGGAAGATGAGTAGCTGGGAGGAAGGAAGGGCCAGGAGGCTAGTGTGGACTTGGAAATGTGAAACAAGCACACTGAGGGAGCCTGAAGGCTGGCGGGCTCTGCGACCATGTCCCTTCTGCCAGAGGCAAGAGAAATGACTCCTTTGGCAGATGGGAACCAATTTCACAAGTTCCTGAGGAGTGCTGTCTTTTTAACTGCCAGAAATCCTTCTATAGTCCAGCTTGAGCTCATTTCTAGATCTGTGGGCATCCTGAGGCTTGACAGATGGTAACACTAATGATAAGGGAAGTTTTTAATACATGAGAGGAAAAAAATGCACGTGTTGGCTTCAGTCAGGGGTTTAATTTGACAAAGGAAAGGAAGGGGTGGTATGTTGAAGGAGACGATGGTCTGGTGAAGTCTCCTCTAGTACATGTCAAGGTTAAATGCTAACTTGGAAGTGTTCACAAAGAAGTGTGTTTGTGGTTTAGTGTAATTGTTTTCTCAGCAGGTTTTCAGTGAAAGTGATGGGTTTTGTGTGGGGAGTATAAAAAAACAGAAGTGTAGCCCGGCAGTGGTGGTGCACGCCTTTAATTTCAGCACTGGGGAGGCAGAGGCAGGTGGATCTCTTGAGTTTGAGCCCAGCCTGGTCTACAGAGCAAGTTCCACATCAGCCAGGGCTACACAGAGAAACCCTGTCTCAGAAAAACAAAAATAAAAATAATTAAAAAAAAAAAAAGGAGAGAGAGAGAGAGAGAGAGAGAGAAAGAGAGAAGTGAGCCGGGTGGTGGTGGCGCACGCCTTTAATCCCAGCACTTGGGAAGCAGAGGCAGGCAGATCTCTGTGAGTTCGAGGCCAGTCTGGGCTACAGAGTGAGTTCCAGGAAAGGCGCAAAGCTACAGAGAAACCCTGTCTCGAACCCCCCCCCCCAAAAAAAAAAGAAAGAAAGAAAGAAAAGAGAAGTGTATACTGTTAGAAACTCAGTCCCATTTTCTGTTAACTGAAGACAGCATGGCTCCTTTAGTGAGGTGTGAGAAGTGCCGTCTCACAGTGGGGCAGGTCTGTGCTGTGCAGGGCACCCAGAGCTCTCTTTTCTTTTCTCTTATGGGACATGATAGGTTCCTGGGGATGAAACTCAGGGCCTCACGGGAGGTAGGCAAGTGCTGTACTACTGAGCAGCATCCCCAGCCACTCAGCAATAATAAATCACTTTTGGTATTATTTTTCTTTGGATTGGGTTTTTGTGAGTTGGAGACCTTTTCACGGAAAGTAGAGCCTTGAGAAATGTGAACCAGGGTTACTAAAGAAAAGCTAAAACTAATTCTTACTTGTTCAATGAATTAAAGAAACCAAAGTATGATTTTTTTTTCTTCTAGTAGCAAAATTGCTTTGTTTTTAATCACAAAAATATTTACAGTCGTAGTTTAGAAAGTCAGAGAACTTTGGGGTGAGACCGGCGGTGTGCTGCTTCCCGTCTGTGAGCTGACTGGTTCTGCCCATGCAGGACTGGAGCAGTGGCACTCCTGGTTGTGGGGAGAGAGCCTGTGGTGTCCAGCTTGGAGAACCCTCTTTGGCTGTGTGCTGGAATTGGAAGACACGGTTTGCTGGGTATCATTCCAGACAGTGGGGTTCACTGTTGCGCCACAGAGCTAGACTCAGCCCTCTGTTAGAATGACTATTCCATGTCCTACCCGTTAGCCTTGTGATAAAGACACTTCGACTGTACTCTGTTTGGCTTGTTTTCCTCATATATGAAAGAGCTGTAAAAAATCCAAGACTTGTTGCTTAAATATTTAATTTTCATCACTTAACACTTCATTGAGATTATGTTCTTTTTTATTTTAAATATATATATAGGAATTACTCAAGGTGATGAGGACAATTGATGACAGAATAGTACATGAATTAAACACTACGGTTCCAACAGCTTCCTTTGCAGGGAAAATTGATGCCAGCCAAACCTGTAAACAACTTTATGAGTCTGTAAGTGTATTTTTTGAGTCTCTCTTTTGTGTTTCTTTGATATCTTTCTTTGCAGACAAAATAAAAAGTTAATTGACTTGTATCTGAACTGTGAAGAGCTCATGTCATCTTTTAAATTTTCTTGTGGACACTTGAAGGTTTCTACAGCCCCAGACAGTGTGTGGCATAGGTACAAATCTGAAGACATGGTTGTAAAGAGTGGGAGCAGGGTTGTTTTGGCCTGTGCATGCATGGCCTTTTGCTTAAATCGACAGTATGCATGAGATAACCACAAGGACCTTGAAACAGTCAAGACAGGAGTGAGAGAGAGAGGACTTGAATGAATGAATACCAAGAGGCCAGGCAGCTAATGGCAGGAAGAGTGAAACACACTTTTTATGTCAGGAATGGAAGGGTGTGGCAGAAAGGGCCAAGAAAGCCACAGAGACTAGTAAATCACCCTTCCTGATGTTTTGACGCCTCTGGTGTGGAGTTGCTCAGTACCTGCTTGCGTCTTCTTTTGAATTTGCAAAAGCAGAAGGAAGTGATGGCGCAGCTGTACTGTGGCTTGATGCTGCCCTCCATTAAGTTGGAAGTTAAGTTCAAATAGCTCATGCCTTTTTATGTTCTCCCCTACAAGTTTACTGTGTGGATTTCTAGTTAGAGGAAAGCCATTATTTAAATCTACAGTACATTTTTCAGGTGTGGAAAAAAGTCATTTTGTGGACAGACTTATTCATATGAATTAAATTTAGAACACTACCTACTGGCATCTAGGTTTTGTTGTGGTGGTGTTTTTAAGTATGTCATTCTGTTGAGCAATCAGGTAAATACCGTGGTTTTAGGAAATTGGATGATGTGGTGGTTAATAAAGATTTAGTCACTGCGAGTGAGGGTGGGTCCAAAGTCCTAACGAACCATGAGATGTTTGACAATTCCCTCATGTTTTGGTGTCTCTGACTAAAGAACTAGAAATATGTGATCAGTCTAGGATGCTCTCCTCCTTCCTGCTACCTGTATGATTCCCTACTGTTCAGTTCTTCCCATTTACAGTCTTCTGTTAGCAAACTGATTGGTAGTATCATGCTTAGCAACATGAATTCTAGGACTAGATCTAACCTCACATCTGCTGCTTCCTAGGGTGGTGACTGAACATTTTGAATAACTTCCTTTTGCCTCAGTTTCATAGAGTTGTAGAAGATTAGTGAACCAAGAAAGCGCTGGTCTATGTATTTTAATATGCTTGCCAAAGTCATTATTATTGGTCATTATTTGATTTTAAATAACGTTGCTCTGGAGATGGAGGCCTGCAGAGTGCCCAGCCAATAAGAGCCACTAAGAGCTTTTGTTGAGTGTTGTCTCTTTCGAGGAGTCTGGAACATCCAAGTTGCTGCTCGTAGTCTCCCTGACTTACATTAGCTCCTAGTCCAGCTTTTGTGACTAAAGAAAACATTTTCGTTCCCTAATGGTGACCCTTCTTTATAGGAAAGGATATAGGAGCTCATACAAAGCATGAATTTAGAAACTCTAACCTCGAAAGGCTCCTCATAGTAAAAATTAGATAATTCCACAGGTGTGAGTATAAGAGGACCTTGAACCGTGACCGTTACACATTGCTATCCAAGACAGATGGAGAAAGGCTGTTTACTGGATGGTTACTCTAAGAAGGGCTTATTAGAATCATTCTGTCAGTTCTCCTTGCAATCAACACACAAAACTGATGCAACCACTAATGTGTGCCTCTGGTTTTCTTTATCAGTACTTTAAATTTTTGAGAAGACCTTTGATGGCATAGTCAAATAACATTCTTTATGTTTCTTTGCTGTAACTAAGATATTCTCCACATCACTTAGTGCACAGCCTCTTCCCCTTGTTAGCAACATGAGACTGAAAACAACCACAAAAGACAGAAAGGAGAGACTAGCAGAAAGTGCTGGGGAGAGTGGATGTAGGGTCCAGGAGCACAGTCAGGGAGTGGCCAGGAGAGCAAGGACAGGGGCAGGAGGCAGGGGCAGGAGGCGGCAGGGAAGCCCAGCTGGGCACTCAGGAAGGAGGAGCGGGAGTCCTGGCCTGGATTGTGGAAGGAGACAGCCTGGCCTCATCCTCTGTGCCTTCCCAGGCTTTCCCTCTTAACCTGCTGTTAAGTGATTTAGCCAATCCAACGTGTTCTCTTCTAGAGTTTCAATTTAAAACACTTCTGAAGTCTTGATTTTTTTTTCTAATACTAAAATGTAACAAGTTAATGTAATTTCTTTCCCTCTTTTCATCCTTTTGTTCTTTTAGTTGATGGCAGCTCATGTCAGTAGGGACAGAGTTATAAAGAACTGTATAGCCCAAACCTCAGCAGTAGTAAAACATCTCCGAGAAGAGAGAGAAAAGAACCTGGATGACTTAACGTTATTAAAGCAACTTAGAAAAGAACAGACAAAGGTAAGTTGAGCAGACTTTTTGTGTTGAAGGCAAAGATTTCCCAAACATAGCCTTCAAAATAGAGTTTTAATATGCAAAATTTCAAGTAAGTTATGGTTATTACTTTTAAAAATGACCAGGACAGGATTGGGAGAATGGATCAGTGGATAAATTATTTGCTTTGCAAATATGAGAACCGGGGTTTGAATCTTGACAACCTCTGTAAAAAATTGGGTGATAAGGGCCTGGAGAGATGGCTTAGTGCTTAAGAACACTGGCTACTCTTCCAGAGGACCCAAGGTCGATTCCTAGCACCCACATAGGCTCACAACTGTCTTTAATTTCGGTTCTAGAAGATCTGATCTCCCTTACTGGTGTCTGCGGGCACCAGGCATGTACATGGTATACAAATATGCAGACAGAATACCCATATACATCAAACAAATTAAACCACCACAAAAGAACCTGGGTGGCGTATCAGCCACCTGTAATCACAGCCCTCCAGAGGTGGGCAGGAGGCCCCTGGGCAAGTTGGCTAGCTAGACTAGCCAGAATTGACTCGAACCAGGTTCATCCAGAGACCCTGCCTCAGTGTTGTCTAGAAAGGACACATGTCATAAACTTCAGTCCTCCACTCGAATGTGAACACTTGTGTTCACACACACCTACAACACACACACACACACACACACACACACACACGAATGCACACATGTACAGGAGAGATGGCCAGAAGAGTAATGGCTTGTTTTCAGGTGGGCTTCACATCACACTTAGATGTTGTAATGCATACTTTATAAACAGATGCAGTACAGCAGCTAGGGGAAAATTAACATGGAATTGTATTTTATTTCTATTCCTGTGATGTTTTCCAGTGTTAAAGACAAAACATCAATGCTGACCAACCCCATATCAGAAGCTCTGTGAAAAACATCTGTGCCTGCTTACTTGAAACATTTCTTCATGAATTTGAATTTGAAAATATTTACCTCTTTCATTCTGTAAGAGTCTGCTGAACTAGAATACAGATTCCTTAAGTTCTAGCTATTGCCCTCTTGAGCCATACAAACACAGTGCTAGTTGAATATAGTGAACACCTCAGTGTGATGTCCACCCCACTCTGTAGACAGCGAGGGTTTTGGCCCTTTCTAGATTACCTTTCTACACTTAACAGCATCCCTGCAGAGGTTTTACTTCAGAACATGTTTTGGTCCAGCTAAGTAGCAGATAAGGATGCCTGCTGCCAAACCCGAAGACCTGAGTTTGATCTCTGGAACCCACATGGTGGAAGATGAGAACTAATTCCCATAAATTGTCCTCTGACCGCTAGACCTGCTCACTGTGGACAGACAGACAGACACACAAACACACCCCACACAGTAAATAAATGAATGAATGAATTAATAAATAATAAACAAGTGTAATTTTAAAAGTCAAGTGCTCACTCAGGGAATATGTGAAAGGAAGCTTTTCCCCATATAGTACAGTTAATGAGGCCGAATCATTGCTCTGTAGCCCTCGTTTGTGGCTTATCAAGAAAACAGTTGTGCTTTGGTGTTCTGGGAGTCAGTTCCAGGACCCATCCTCTGCCCACCAGGGAGATCAAAGTCCACAGATTCGCGAGTCCCATGTGTAAAGTGGCTTAGTGTTTGCATTAACTTCCTCCCTTCACCCTCCCTTGTGTTTTAAGTCATTCACAGATTGCTGACAGCAGCTAATACAGAGTATTCATGTTTGCTACATATGTAATTCTCCCCCAAAATATTTTTGACCCCCAATTACTTGAATTCATAGATTATACAGAGAGCGGACTATAGTTATTACATGAAATACATTGCCATCCTTTTTTAGAGGGAGTTTTAGGTATCATTGTAATTTTATGTAGTTCCAGACTTAAGAGAAAGGTTGCAAAGTAGTGTGAAGAGCTCCTGTGCAGAATGTTCACCACGTTCCCTTGCTGGTGACAGCTTTACAGTCTTCACCTTCCCTCCCGCTCACCTGTGTGCACGTGCATACTCTCCTTTGGAGGATTCCGAGCACTTGTTAGATATGCTGTTTCTTGTTTTCAGTTATTACTTGTGTGTGTGTACCCTCAGAGGACCACTTGGAGAGGTGGTTCTTTCCTTCCGGCATTTGAGTGCCTGGGATTGAACTCAGGTCATCAGACTTGGCAGCAAGCACCTCTGCCCATTTGGCCATCTCACTGGCCCCATTGGCTATTTCTCAATAACAGGGACTTCTCTTACATGACCACTGCACAATTGTCAATACAGTCGTCTACTTAAGAGAGCACAGTGGGCAGCTTATCGTTCTCGTGGGTCAGGTGACTGAAAAGGCGATGTGGAACGTGCTTTTTTTTAAGTAGTTGTAGAACTTGGTTGGCGTTTGTTTAGCAGATGTAACCAGCTGCATGGGGGCACACAGTGAGTAGGCCAGGCTGCTGTGCTTTCTCAGTTATTCTGCTAATTCAGTGTTTCCCTGGAGACAGCCTCAACCTGTGTTTGTGTCTCTCTTGGTCCATGAATACGGTTTAGGTTTCTGTTCCATACTTGCTTTTTCATCGGGCAGCGATTGGTATCTCCAGATGGTGAACTTGTTAAAATAGCTCTTGTCTCACCCCCTTGATAGTCAGGATTATTTGTATGTTATTTTATAAAATTGGTCAGGGTCTAAGTCGCTTTGAGATTTCTATTTCTTGAGAGCATGACTGCAAACCTGTCCTCCACTATCAGGAAAGGTCATCCTTCCCAACTAATTCATTAGCTTAACTAGTGAAGGAGGAAAGGGACACGCTGAGCCATCCACATAGCCCAGTGGGTCCTGCCTGGCCAGGAGTGGTGTGAACATGCAGTAGCCATATCACCCTTACATCCTGGATTTTGTTAAAGATGTTGACAGGGCATGTGGGGCAGGACGCTAAGTCATATAAATCAGAGTGGAAGTACAAAGTTCAGCTAAGCCCTAGTATTCAGGAGTGACTGTGTCTGTTTGCTCAGCTCTCACATCTGCCCCTTTGCCCTCAGTGCCTGGAAGGCGTGGCCACAAGGACTGCAGGGAGGGGCATTGGAAGCGATGGGGAATACATGTAAGGTCCGCTTCCCAGCCAGTAGGGCACCTGTGAGTAGTGCTGCCGAGGGTGGGGGCATGCGGCTGTGTATCTTCCTGTGTGGTTATGGGCTCTGAAAGAGAGGCCTTCAGATGTGCCGGCTCTTCCTCACTCGCTGAGGATGAGGGACACCAACTGGTATCTCTAAAGTCACAAGCTAGTGAGTGGTTAGGATTTAATAACCTTTAATTATCAAACATACCATCTTTAAGACTCATCCTCCACAAACTTTGTACAACCTACTCAAGCCTTTTATATGTTAGGGTTCCTGTTTTTATATTTTCCATTTAGGAAAATTCCAGTCATTTTCTTTTACTGTATAAAATCCTTTTTATCTAAAACAATCTCATCCTCATCCCATCCCCCTTTTCAAATATGAGCTAGTTTATTCTGGAGCTAAATATGAGTGCCCATAGCCTGGGAAACTTGGAGCTAGATCATCCCAGGTTTCATATTCCAACATGGAAGCAATTTCATGGAGGGTTTTTGGGGGGGGGGGGGGTTGAGACAGGGTTTCTCTGTGTAGTTTTGGTGCCTGTTCTGGATCTCGCTCTGTAGACCAGGCTGGCCTCAAACTTACCTCCTGGCTCTGCCTCCTGAGTGCTGGAATTAAAGGCGTGTGCCACCACCTCCTGGCTCATGGAGTTTTTATAGTAATAGAACAAAAAAAAGTTTTTTCTTTGTAACTTTTCTTACCAAAAGTTCCCTCAGATTTACCACCTCCTTAACATTTTTCTGACCTACTTACTGTTTCTTCTTTAAATAAGAGCTGAATCCAAATTATATATGTGGCACAATGTGGCAAATTAAGATTATCTGTACCCTATTGGTATCAAATTTCTGTTTTTTTTTTTTTTCTTTTTCTTTCTGTTGCTCATCTTAGGCAAACTTCTTAACTTCCTGGACTTTATAGTACCCACTCCAGGGGTGGGAGTCATACGGAACTTGGGAATTAGAAGTTTTCCATCCCCACAAGCACCTGCAGAGATGTCTGTACCTTCAGCAGTCAGCACTCTTTGTAGACAAGAGAGGGCAGAACAGAGCCGGGAAGCTTGCTCATGTGCTAGCCTTGTAACCGCAGTGGTGGGTGCAGAAGATGTTTCTTGTCCTTGATGTGGCAGTGGACAATAGGAGGCCAGGTTTCTGAGTGCATCCTCACTTCTCCATCATCCCGTATGTGACACCGTCAGATTGGGAGCTCCAGGTATCTAGCAGGAATCAGCCGGGGAAGCCCCTTTGAGGCAGTCAGCTGGAGTTCCCATTAGGAGTCCCAGGCAGAGCAGAGTGTCCCCGTGACACTTCCAAGTACAATTAAGAGATTGTAACAGGTGGAGATAACCTCACCAGCTGGGCCCTCACAGCCCAGCAGGAGCTCCCTGAGGAAGTGGAGGCAGTCGGCTGCTGAAGTTCCCGGGGAGCTTTCTCTCCACGGCCGTCCGGCCGGCCGAGCTCCCCACTTCCCAGTGCATGCACTTTTCTGTCCCGAGATAAGCAGTGGTGGTCCATTAGAAATGGTTTCCTTTCGGTGGTTTTCAGGGAAACTTTTCACTCTTGGGCTGCTTTGCTGTTCTGTCTCTCCCTGTAAGAGTTGGAGCAGCCAGCCCATTCCTAGACAAGGGGCCTTGGAGGATGGATAGCTTGAGATAGACATGCTGGGGTCTGAATTGTGGAGGGGCAGTGCTTCCAGGACCAGTGTCTCAGAGAGCTCAAACAAAAGGGACAGTTTACGAATATAATGTTTATTACACATGCTCTTCTAAATGTTATTTTATCTTCATATTGGGTGTGATGGATGTGATGTGTGTGGGTATGGTCGCCTGGGCTGGTGTGTGTGAGGCCAGAGGTTGATGTATTCCTCAGTCACTTCTCCACCTTGTTTTTTAAGGCAGGGTCTCTTACTGAGCTGGGAGCTTGCAGTTTTAGCTAGATTGGCTGGCCAGCGTTCCCCAGGGTCTGCCTGTCTCCACCCCACCCCCATTCCCCAGCACTGGGTTATAGTTTTAATCTTTACAGTTCAGAATTTCTGTTTTTTCTTTTCTTACAGTTGAAATGGATGCAGTCAGAACTAAATGTCGAAGAAGTGGTAAATGACAGGAGCTGGAAGGTAGGAAATAATGTTGGTTCTTGTAGAGAAACTGAACCAGCAAGGGACAACCAGGGGAGGGGCAGGAAGTGTAGACAGAGAACCCCGGCACACTGAGGGTGATGAGTGCTGTTAACTTCTGGGTGGAAGCACTACAGCTTACGGACAGACAGGATTCTGTGACCTACTACAGAACGGATTGCATACATTCTGTGGATCCCCAACACTATGGCATAGATATATTCAGAGTTTTTAATTGTAGTTAGCTGAGAACTTTCAAAGAAGTTATTTGTTACAATTAGCCTTTTTGTGCAGTTACTTTTCCAAAACCAGAGTTGCTAGCATTATTCTGCAATTGTGTTAGTTAATATTCATTGAGTCTCATAAATGTAATTACACAGGGAACATTAGTGGAGAGGAAACACTCAGATAAATAAGTTCCGGAGAAGGAAAGAATAGGCCAAGTGAGCTCCACCACACTCTAGCTGGATCTCTCTGACCTTAGAGACCAGCTGCTGGGCACTGACCAACTTCTGACATTTAGTAACTGTTTATCTCTTCAGGAGTTTTGTTGTAGAAATAGTTTTGTTTCAAAATTTTCACACACACAAAAATTAATCATTAAGCAGAGGTGATGTTTTGGCATCTTGGTATATAACCGTCCAGCTTTTTTTTAATGCATGTTCAGACTTGTTAACTGATTTTAAAAGTCATAAGTGAAATCATCATCTACCTACTTGTAGCCAGTGTATTTCCTGTGTCATTACATAATTACATTCACCTTTTAAAAATATACAGCATGTGAAGGCATGAATAAATTATGGACTATAAATTAGCTGCTTTATGGCATTTCTTTATCCTGTCTTCCTTGCCAAAATGTAGCCTGTACTTGTCCTTGCATCAGCATAGGGCTATGCTGCTTGGAAGATTTTTGGCAATGTTTGTCTATGCATACCTTCTCTGAAAAAGTCATAAGTTATTCTGGGACTATGATGGGAGAGAAGTCTGGTGAATATCTGGCTTTAAAGAGCCAGTCCAGAGGATTTCGGTGCGTGGAAAGTGTGGTAGATGGTAGAGGGAGTGAACAATTTTGTATTTGATATCCCAAGTGTTCCTCAATATGATGGGATTACATTCCCAGTAAACCTAAGTGTTCCCAAGACACTCAACTTGGGAACTTGGACTATACTTAAGTATCAAGAGAGAATATTCTTCTGTGTATCATTAGCCCACCAAAAAAAAATCAAAATTTAGCCAGGCATGATGGCCTGTAACTCCAGCACTTGGGAGACTGAAGCAGGATTGTGAGTTTGAGGCCAGATCGAGATACATAGTAAGTTCAAGACCAATATTGACTACAAAGCAAGACCTTGTTTCAAAAACCAAATTCAAAACAAACACAGTTATTAAAGGGTGTTTAATAAAGGTATTACAGTGGCCAGGTGGTGGCTCACACCTTTAATCCCAGCACTTGGGAGGCAGAGGGAAGCAAATCTCTGTGAGTTCGAGGACAGCCAGGGTTACACAGAGAAACCTTGTCTTGAAAAAAAACAAAACACAAGCAAATAAAGACAAAAGGGTGTACAGTGAACACCTGCTTCGTGCTCTGAGGTCTTCCACATGGAGGGGGACATACTTACAGATGCTTATGTCTTCTCTTATATTGAGTGTGTCTCCTTTGCTGACAACAGAAGTATTCTGTATGTGTTTTTCTTAACACACATCAGAAATCTTTCCATGTAAGAATGTTAACAACTTACGATTTTTAAACCTTTTACTCCCATGAGTGGCTCTACCAAGATTTTTATGTAGCATAGCCCCATTTAGTCATGGGCATTCTCTTAACACTTTCGTTGTTTCAGATTTTAGGAAGCAAGGTGAACAAAACAAGAAATACATAAACTCACATAATTTAGCAGAAGACAGGTCCAGCCAGCAAATGGCCGTTGAAATTGTCTAGTCATCATGCTTAATTTGGTGTGCTAAAGAAACTTACTGTTTCCTGAGCCTATTGACCTAGATGAGATGGGAACATCCTCCTAACCTGTGATCTGGATTTACATCCTGCTTTATACAGGATGACTGGATGACTTCTCTTTCTGTTTGAACATCGTAGGTGTTTAATGAACGCTGCCGAATTCACTTCAAGCCTCCAAAGAATGAGTAGAGAGTTTTTCTGTTTGTTTTTTGTTTTTAAAGACCTGGTCATCTCATCAACTAAGCATGACAGATGTCAGCAGGGCAGGCTCCCGAGGATGGTCTTCGAGCCAGAAGGCCAAGGCCTTTGGTTGACTTCAGCCCCTTTTAGCCAGGACCTCAAATCTAATTCTCATAATTATAAAATAATCAATTGCTATTTTATACTGATTCTGTAAAAATGTTTTGTAACTATTAAAATAATTTTCTGACTCTGTGTATATACTTATTTGGTGGCTTTGCAAGTTGAGACAGCAGGTTCTCCAGGTCATTGTGCCTGCTTGAGTTTCACAAATGGATTGGTATGGATGTGGACCTCTTTAAAGGGGCAGAATCAGGCTGGAGAGGTTAGTGGTTAAGAGCACTGGCTGCTCTTGCAGAGGACAAGTTCGATCCCAGCACCCACACAGTACTCACAACTGTATATCGCTCTAGTCCCAGGGGATCTGACACCCTCTTCTGGCCTTGGTCAGCACCAGGCACACATGTGATGCAGTCATACATGCAGCCAAAATACCCATGCTTATAAAAATAAAACGAATCAGGCTGGATCCTATATATACAAATTCTCTGATTTTTCTTTTTAAAAAGGGGCATTGTGACAGGTGCCTGTAATCCAATCCCTTGGGAGGCTGAGATGACCAGCCTGTGCTGTAGAGTGAGAACCTGTCTCACAAAACAAAAACATTTGAGTCAGGCTGCACTCCTTTAATCCCAGCACTAGGGAGGCAGAGGCAGGTGGATTTCTGTGAGTTTGAGGCCAGCTTGGTCTACAGAGTGAGTACCAGGACAGCCAGGCTATACAGAGAAAGAAACCTTGTCTCAAAGTACAAAACAAGAGAAGAGCATTTATTTAGTTTTTGCATGTAAAACTGCTTTGGGCTGGAATTGTTTTCTAGACAGTTTCCCATCGATACAAAAGAGAAGCATCCATGGAAAGGGATAGATGACTAACAAGAGCCCTGTTGAGTAGAGGGCTCCACCAGTGAAGGAAAGTACATGGTAGTGTGGGGTATTAGCTTTCGGAGGCCACAGAACAGACCGTAACAGCTTCACTGCTTAATGTCATACTATTAATAATTGCTGTGTCACGGTCCTCTGCTTCCAAAGTCCACACAGGTTGGACTGGGACAGGGTTCTTTGCTCAGGGTGTGGAAGCTGAAATCCAGCTTGGAGTGAGACTGGCGTTTGTCTGAGTCTCCAGGGAACACTGCTTCTGAGTTCATTGAGCTTGGTGGCAGAGTGTAGAGTGAGTGAGTTGTAGAAGCAAAGTTCCTGTGTACTTGGCTGGCTGTGTGGTACCATTCTGCCAGAGGCCACCCACATTTCTCAACACATGGCCCCTTCCGTCTTCACACTGGGGCAGTCTCTCTGACTTCCTTTTCTGCCGTGAGCCAGACAAGCTGCCTTCAAAGGGTTTGTAATTAGCTCTACCACAGTGCTGCTTTTCTTGAACTCAGTTGGTTAATCTGCACATGACTTTTGCCACGTAATGTAGCAGTCACAGATGTGATTAGGGCAGGACATAGGTGCTGCCAGTTTGGATTCTGTTTACAGTCGTGAGCTAAACTCACGCCACATGGCTCTGGCTTGTCTGGCTTCTGGTAGGCCTGAGCCTGCAGCGTCTTGATCTTCATCAGATTATGTTCCTGGAAGTTAACCCTGGAGGCGTCAGCGGTCCTGTTTTGTTGATAGAACTTTTTGGAACATTTACTGTGGGTGTTTGTTGGGGAAACTGAGATATTCCTTTAGGACTGGGAGTGTCACTGAGAAGGAGAATGCTTAACTAATAGTACAAGGCTCAGGCTTTGATCCCCAGCATGACAGGGAGAGGGAGGGAGGGAGGGAGGGAAAGGGGGAGAGGACAAGAAGAGAGTGAGAGAGACCATGTAGTGATGTACACCTTAATCCCAGCACTTAGGAGGCAGAGGCAGGCAGATCTCTGAGTTCAAGGTCAACCTGGTCTACTTAGTTCCAGAGCTACATAGACCCTGTCTGGGAAAAAAAAAAAAGTTGGTTACAATTAACATATAGCTTTTTCGATGAAGAAAAGTTTATCTTAAAAGATAGTATTGAAAAATCTTTTCTATAAAGCTGGTTTGTAAGTGTTTAAATGGGGTAAGATAAAAGGCTGGATGTAAATGAAAATACAGCAAGGATCTTGACGGCATTCCTCGGGGAAATTAGTTTCTTGGCTCAGGTCATAATGATCTTTCCAGACTTCAGATCTGTCACTAGAGTGCTTTCTGTCTAATCTAATTATGTTAGGGTGCCTGAATTAATCAAGTGTGACATCAACCAAGCATTTACCTCAGTTTGGAGTGAAAGAGTAAATGAATATACTGAGCCTAGTCAGTAGCATTTAAAGGTTGGAAGATAAAGTTCCTTTACCGCTTTGGAAAGTAGATTTTGCTCGCTGACACTCTTGTGTGCGGTCACCGCCTCACAACAGTTTGATCTGCTGCTTTCACTCGGGAGAACTTAGAAACATGCCAACATTCAGAGGTGGGTTTGTCTTCTACTTGGCTGAAGACGGGCAAGTGAAGCCACACCTGTGATGAACCTTGCAAATTCTTCCAACACTTTAATGTCCTAGAAATTCTAGGTACTACTAACCAGTATTGTGACAAAGCAAAATTCTTGCTCTTGAAAAGCTTCCATTTGTTGAGGGGGGATAGATGATAGATACTAAGGAATTGAGTTACAGATAATGGCAAAATGCAATCCAGTTCTTTGCAAGAGATAACGAGCAGGAAGTCAGGGGAAGAGTGACGTGTGGATTGCAAATGACCGTGCTGGTGGGAGAACATAAACGTCCTCGCCTTTGAAAAGCTAACTTAATTTATATTGAAACACGGAGTACTGTAAGGATGGACATCCTGTTATTCCCTAATATAAGTTGTGCTTCAAAACTATTTGTTTGGGAATGGAATTTGTTTGTGCTGGTGTTGTTACAGTAGTCTGCTAATGTCCCATAAATTCAGGAATAACGTGTGAACAGGAGATTCATCCAAAGTGCTCCCATTTTAAATTATAAAGTGGACATCGTACCTAAAGTTAGGGGATCTAATCAAACATTAGAATCATGTAGCTTACTTGTGATCTCTGTATGTATACTTTACTTAGCCTTGCAGAATACTCTAAATTTCACTGACCTTTCAAAAGAACTTGTCCCAAGCATAGAGATTGAAAAAAAGTAAGGAAAACGGAAAATGATCATTTCTAGCAAGATCAACTTTTGTCTCTGTGGGGAAAAGGGAAGAAGAAACTGGATAAAAATGGTGACTTAGAAAATAAATACTTTGTGTAAAGATGTGACAACTTATGATTTGGGCTTCTGTCCTCTTGGGAGTTTGATGAATTGGGTGTGTGTGAGAGAGAGGGTCTTGCTATTAATGCTGTGCTGCTGACCTATGACTCACTATGCAGACTAAGCTGACCTTGCACTCATAAAGATTGGCTGACCTTTGCATCCTGAGTTCCGGGATTAAAGGTGTGCGCCACCATGCCTGGCCATGCTCCTATAAGTCGGGGTCTTACTAGCCCAGGCTGGCCTCAGATTTGCAGTCATCCTCAGCCCCCTGAGTACTGTGGTTACAAGTGTGCATTACCATGTGCAGTCCACGCTTGCTTTTCAGGAATAAGTACTATGGTGCCCCAAAGATAACATTTAAGGTTTTGTTTTGTGCGTGTTTGTAAGTCTTCATTGTCTGGATGTGTGGAGACTGGAGGTTGACATCTAGTGTCTTCTTTACCCTCTCTCCCTCCACCTTAGGGTTTTGAGACAGGCCCTCACTGACCCTGGAGCTTATTGATTCAGCTAGGCCGGCTGCCAGCAAGCCCCAGGGTCCTGCCTTAACATCCCCAGTTGGGGAATTAAACAGGTTTTCTTCTTGTACAGAAGTACTCTCAGAGGAACCATCTTTCTAGATCCAGAGGATTTAGTTACTAAGGTTTTAGGATTTATCATTTTTACATTCCCTAGTTTATTGGTCTTACCTTGTTATCTGTTTTTTATCAGCTCAGTATTATAGCAGATTATAGTTTTGTACTTCTAGGTAGAAACAAAGTTTGTTAAAAACCCCTCTAACTTTTCCTTCAGCATTTTGTAAGAATTTTCAAATAGTTGAGGTTAAGCACCAGCTCCCAGATGCAGTGGCCGACTGAGGACAGGCCTGGGTGACTATCTCATGATTCAGTAAAGAGATCGGGATAGCTAGTCCACTGGCACTTCGAAATAATTGCTACTGAACGAATTCTTTCCACTCCAGTTTTACACCCCAGCAAGCAAAAGCTGTCCCATGTAAAGCCCCACAATGATTCCTCACTACCTTCAAGATAACTACAAATCCCTTAAGGTGGTCTCACTGCTCTGCCCCCCTCCCAGGCCCTCACCCCATCACCCCTCCGCAGTGCTCTGTTTCCTCCGGTACTGGCTACCTTCTGCTTCTAGCCAAGACCCAATGTCACCTTCAAATGTCTGAGCTTGCTCTCTTTCTCTCTCCTGCCAACTCCTATCTGTGGCTCGTGTCCAAGCTGTCACTCCCTTCTGCCACTTGGACCTCTCAGGTTAGGTGTCCCTTTTGTGTGCTCCCACAATAGCACATGCATGGGGTCTTTGCTATGCTCTTAACTTGCTGCTTTTCCTCTTCAGTTTGTGAGGCCCGTGCGCTTTCCTGCTTCTCAGAATGTGTGGGATACTGCTAGTCCCACACTTCATTTTCCTCTTTATTGATAGAACCCTGGCTCTGGCTGCTGGGTACCTGTAAGACAAATTGCTAAACGGTCTTATTAATAAAAAATTATGGAGCCAGATATTGGGGTTAAAACTGAGAGACCAGAGGAATAGAACAAGCCACAGCCAACCTCACCGTATGGACTCCTCAGCTTCCAAAGAGACTTACTTCCTGTATTCCCACGCCTATATGCCTTTCTGTTCTGCATCTCACTTCCTCTCTCCGCCCAGCTACATCACTTCCTGTCTGTCTATACAGACCTCCAGCCTTCTAGCGTTAGTGCTGGGATTAAAGGCGTGTGCTACCATTGCTTGACTTCCATGTTTACTATAGTGGCTGGCTTTTTCCTCTGATCCTCAGATAAGCTTTATTAGGGTACACAATATATTGGGGGGGACACAATATATCACCACAGGTGCCCAGCTTCCCTGTAGCCTGGGGAGCAAAGTTCTGAAGGAGAAGCTTACATGGAGATTTCTCAGTATCTTTTGTAGTGCTAAAGGAACTGCCCTGTTCTCATTGCCTCTGCCTTCTTTGTAGACTCAGCATATCTACAAAACTCAGAAAGTAGCAAAATAAGTCATTACTGTCAGTAATTACTCTGAGTGTAAATGGATTACGCTGAATGAAAAGACAGTGAATAATGGGTCAAAAACCAATATTCAAATGTAATGTAGACTGTAGCAGTTGTTTTTTGTTTTGTTTTGTTTTTTGTTTTTTGTTTTTCAAGACAGGGTTTCTCTGTATAGCCTTTCCTGGAACTCACTCTGTAGCCCAGGCTGGCCTCGAACTCACAGAGATCCGCCTGCCTCTGCCTCCCGAGTGCTGGGATTAAAGGTGTGTGCCACCGCCCGGCCAGTTGTTTAATTTTTAATGGCACAAAAAGACTGGAAATGAAAAGACAGAAGGTATTCCACACACACACACACAAAAGGAAACTGAGTGGTGCTGAGACCTGCATCAGACCAAATGACTGGAAATTTAAGATGGCAGAAAGCCCACAAAGGTCAAGATGAAGGATCAGTTTGTCAGGAGGATGCAGAGCTGTACCACCGCAGTGACGCACTGAAACATATGAAACAAATGTGAAAAGATTTGAAGGCAGTTGAGAGATTAGAATACGGTAATGGTGAGGAGCTGGGGTTGGTGGCCCAGGCCTGTCCAGCATTCAGGACAGAGGCAGGGATGGTCATGAGTTCCAGGCCAGCAGGGGCTGTAATGAGACCCTGTCTCAAAGCAGCAATATCAACAACAACAACAACAAAAAACCCCACAATACTAACGGACTTTCATATACCATTTTCTTCCTTTTTTTTTTTTTTTTCCGAGACAGAGTTTCTCTGTGTAATTTTGGTGCCTGTCCTGGATCACGCTCTGTAGACCAGGCTGGCCTTGAACTCACAGAGATCCACCTGCCTCAGCCTCGGAGTGGTTGGAATTAAAGGTGTGTACCACCACCGCCTGGCTCATATACCATTTTCAATATCAGACAGAAGACTCAGACAAAATCAACCTAGGAACTCTGGACTTCACACTCCTGACCAAATGGACCTAAACAGAATACACAGAATATTGTCCAACACATCCTATGCCAGACCACAAGACAAGTCTAGCAATTGAAGAAGACCGATACCATGCAATTTTTTTTTTTAACATCACAACATTGTAAAAGTAGAAATCACTAGCAGGAAGAACCTTGGAAAGTCACAAACACAGGACAATTAGGCAACATATGCCAGAAAAACTAATGGGTCAACAGATAACTTTTAAAAGAACCTAAAAATGGAAGGCCACGAAAACTGGAAAAGAACACACCAGAGCTTGGAGGATGCAGTGCACGCCACGCCAAGAGCGACGATGATCACATTAAGTGCTCACTATCAAAGGATCACAAATGAACCGCCGGGTGATGTGGTGGGAGAAGAACCATCAAGCCAGCGTTAACGGAAGGAAGGGGAGACTGGAAACCAGGGCAGAAACAGATGGGAACCAAAAAACAGGCAAACAAAGTCAGTGTTGGAAAAGATTGAAGAGTTGCTCACTCTTGGTCTAAACGGAACACAAGAACTGAGGACTCCAGGAAACAAGCTCACAAGTCTAAGTAGAGACAATACAGCAGCTACCACAGAGATACAGAGAACTGTAACATGTTAGTCTGAACAACTGTGCCCCAGACAGAACATGTCCCAGACATGTGCCTGTTGTAGAATATTATTTTAAGGTGTGTTACTTTTGTTTATGTTGCATTTGTTTAACTCTGTGAAGCTGTGCTACTGTGCCTGTCTAAAACACCTGATGGTCTGATAAAGAACTGGCCAATAGTGAGGCAGGAGAAAGGGTAGGCAGGGCTGCAAGCACAGAGTATAAATAGAAGAAGAAAAGAGAGAGAGAGAAAGAGAAAGAAAGAGAGAAAGGAGCCAGAGGAGGAGGAGGACTCCAGGGCCCAGCCACCCAGCTACACTGCCAGCCACAGAGTAGGAGTAAGATTTACAGAAGTAAGAGAATGGGAAAAGCCCAGAGGCAAAGGTAGATGGGATAATTTTAAATTAAGAAAAGCTAGCTAGAAACTAAGCCAAGCTAAGGCCTGGCATTCATAAGTAAGAATAAGGCTCTGTGTGTGATTTATTTGGGAGCTGGGTGGTGCCCCCCCCAAAGAGTACAAAAAACAAAAAAGAACATGTGCCCCCCACCAGCACTGAATGATGAAGAAATAGAAAATCTGCACAGGAGAATAAAGAAGATCCTGGAGATTAAATCAGGAATTAAAAAGCCTGCCCTAAAGGAAACACCCCAGCCCTGATGGCCTCACCCAACTTATATCAAACTAGTCTGGTCTACACAGTGAATCCATCCATCCGCTGCATAGTGAGACTCTGGATAAAAAGCAACAACAAAACACCCACCAGTTGTATTTCCCAACACTAACAATAGCTTGTCTGGAAGATAAGTTAAAAGAAAAATCTGATTGTAACAACTTCCCACCGGCACCAAGCCTTTAGGAGTAAATTTATCAGGGAGGTAAGGCTGCCAGAAATCCTAAAATACAAATCAAAAAAATGTAAGGAGATACACAGAAAAAATAGAATATTTTGTCCATGTGTTGGAAGCACTAATGTTGTTAAAATGGTCATATGACCCAAAGATATCTATAACTTTAATGTTATAGCTGTGGAGATTAAAATATCAGGCTGGGTAGTGGGCAGTGGGCGGCGCACACCTTTAATCCCAGCATTAGAGAGGCAGAGGCAGGCGGATCTCTGAGTTCGAGGCCAGCCTGGTCTACAAATCGAGTTCCAGTTGCAGATTTCAAAACATGTCTTGTAAAGTACCACTTTATGTTTTCAAGTACGGAAGCAGAGATGACATGCTGGGTTCTAGGTAACCCCAGAGAACAAGGAGGGTGCCTCGCTGACCGCCACTGATCTAAGCCCCCTGCAGTGAGGACGAGGCCACACTAAACCTTTATCCAACTGCACCTGAGCCTTATTGGTTTTTATTAGGTCTCCAATTGGCATCATTTATATGGAATTTCCACTCTAAACCCATAACACAGTGCTCTCTTTGGCGGCACATACACTGAAATTGGAATGAGACCGAGGTTAGCACAGTTCTTGCCCAAGGATGACATGCAAATCCATGAAGCATTTCATATTTTAAAACACTGTCAAGAAGGCAAAGGTCAATACAATGTATGAATAATAATGGAAGAAAACAGTTATTTGAGGAACGCTTCTTTATTGATGGCCGCATCTCTTTACAGTGAGAGGAATCAGGTCACTTTAGTGTTTGCTGCTTAGAAGTAGGTCAGTTCGTCATCCTTGGTTTTGTTAGTCTGGTAGCCACTAAGTTCCAAATGCTCATTTTGTCGAGTAAGACCTTGAAAGACTTTCAAGTGCATGTAACGACCATCACCTACATCCACCTGAAAGATGTAAGAAAGAGAGGGGAGGGAGGGAGGGAGGGAGGGAGGGAGGGAGGGAGAGAGAGAGAGAGAGAGAGAGAGAGAGAGAGAGAGAGAGAGAGAGAGAGAGAGAGAGAAGGAGATTATTCGATTATTCACATGGATCTACATTGTATGGCAGATCTGCTGTCTTGTAAGCCATCCTGAAATGACACTTCTGGCCCAAAGCAGCATCTGTGAACTAAGCTCCCATCAACCCTATCAACCTGTATGTTTCTAGGAAGAGCAGTTAACAGTATGGCAGGAAGTATATTTTCGAGATTTATTTTTAATACTTTTTAGAAAAATACTTAATTTTTGTATGAACAATTTGCCTGCTTTGTATTTAAGTGTACCATGTGCATGTAATGCCTGAAGAGACCAGAAGATGGCGTCATCTCCCCTCAAACTGGAGTTAGAGATGGTTGTGAGCTTTCGTGTGTGCTGGAACCCAAACCCGGGTCCTCTGCCAGAGCAATCAACGCTCTTGCCATCCGTCTTCATCTGGGTTTAATTGATTGCACTTTTTTTTTTTTTTTTTTTTTTTTTTTTTTTTTTTTTTTTTTTTTTTTTTTTCGAGACAGGGTTTCTCTGTGTAGCTTTGCGCCTCTCCTGGAACTCACTTGGTAGCCCAGGCTGGCCTCGAACTCACAGAGATCCGCCTGGCTCTGCCTCCCGAGTGCTGGGATTAAAGGCGTGCGCCACCACCGCCCGGCTGATTGCACTTTTCATTAGACTCTGGGCACAATTACATCGGAGTTACTTTGTATTTTCACGATGCCCGGAACAGGCGTGGAGGGCAGACTGTATTTTTGGTGATTCTGTTTCCCAAGTTGGGACAGAAAATGCCATATAGTTTAATAAGGGAGAAAATACTCAGAATTGCTTTAGAAAAGTGGACTGTACGGTCCCTGTAACTATGCTGTATAAGAACCTACTTTATGAATGCCCACCAGGCATTTGAGAACTGAGCAGGGGTGGGTGGCCTGCCGGCTCCCTTTGTAAAGTAAAATGAAGAAGCTTAGGTGCCATTGGGGTAAGGATCTGGATGGTAGTTTGGGCATGAACCCAGGACCTAGAACATAGAGAGAAGAATTGCAACTTTGTTCTTTATTGGAACAGTAAAAACTTTGTGTTATATGTACATATTGTGCTCTGATATCCCTTCCTACCCTAATCTTCCAATGCTATTTGTCAAAGTTTACCATTATATATGACACTATGATGAGCGTCATACAAAACGTGTGTGTGTGTGTGTGTGTGTGTGTGTGTGTGTGTGTGTGTGTGTGTATGTGTGTGTGTGGTCACCCTGACCTCTTACTGTAGGTCTGAAAAAAGCTGTGACAGTATCAGTTTTAAAGATGCCAGCAACAGATTAAAGAGACCAGTTTTCTGGAGCTGAGGATGCAGCTCTGTCAGTGCAGTGTTGGGCTGGCTGGCACCTAGTCCTGGGTTCGGTCAACCAGCACCTCCTAAGGCAGGTGCTGTGTGCCAACTATAATCCCAGAACTCAGAAGCTGGAGGCAAGAGGAGCAGAGACTCAAGGTCATTTTCTACTATGTGTGGAGTTCCAGTTCCGACAGCCGGAGATACATGAGACCCTGTGTCAAAACCACAGCCAAACCAAACCAAACAAGACAACAACAGAAACCAATGAGGTGTAGTCAACGCTTCCCACAAAGCTCTCAGTGAGCAAATGGCACAGCCCAAATTTAAACCTAGATCTGTCAGATTCCATCCACATCATTAACCCTCTCTCTCTCTCTCTCTCTCTCTCTCTCTCTCTCTCTCTCTCTCTCTCTCTCTCTCTTTCTCTCTCTCATTGGTTTTTTGAGACAGGGTTTCTCTGTAGTTTTGGAGCCTTTCCTGGATCTCACTCTGTAGACCAGACTGGCCTGGAACTCACAGAGATCCTCCTGCCTCTGCCTCCTGAGTGCTGGGATTAAAGGCGTGTGCCACCACTGCCTAGCCATTTTGTGTCTCTTGTTGGTTGGATTTGTTTTGAGGAAGGATCTCTCTAGGTAGCCCAGGCTAGCCTCCAACTCCAGAATCCTTCTGCCTTGTCTCCTGAGTACTGGGTTACAGGTGTATCTCATGCTCAGTGTTTGTAGTCTTCTCAATCTACAGTGTAACTCCCCCACCCCCAGACAGTGTAACTTTTTTTTTAAGCATTTGTTTCCTACTTGGAAATGGGCATCAACCTTTGCAAACACTGTTGGCATTACCGGAGTCAGTGCTCCGGGTGGACGTCTTGGCTCTGTGCTTACAGCAGTGTGAACTTCTAGAGTCATTTACCTTCCCAGGGATCAATTTTCTGACTGGTAACACAGTAGGAGGGGCGTATTTTTGTTTCGTGGCTTCTTTGCGAGGATTAGGTGAAGAGGAATATGGCCTGCTTACAGAATAGTACCTCGCACATTCTAAATTCGCCGTGGGTTATTGTTCCCACTGTTCAGGGTCGGGGACCAGACTCAGGGCAAGAGATCTTGGGATCACACAGATTTTGAACAAGTGTGAACAAGTAGTGAAACTGAGGTCAAACCCGGGACAACCTAACATCAAAGGCTGTGATCCTTCATTCTACAACTCTCTCAGCAGGGACTCAAGACAGACAGAAAAGCCCACCAGTAACAACTGCAATCTAGAGAGGCTGAGAGCGACACAGTGGCGAGCCTGCAGGAAGGAAGGAGGGAAGGAGGCCTGGGAGAAGAGTGGAGGGGGGAGACGGGGGAGGAGGGAGGAGGAGGGGGGAGAGGAGGGGAAGAAGAGGGAGGGGGAGGAAGGGGGAGTGAGGGGTTGCACATACTGCAGTAGGATGGTCAAGGGAAGAAATTTTCAAGATCATTTTCTGATGAGCTTTTTAAAGAAATATGTGAGGGAATTAATATGAATTAATATGAAACATAATCAAAAGTTTTTAAGATAATCTCAGTTTTGGTGGAAACTTTCCTCTTTGAACAAAATCATTTTTCCTGAAAGCTTTCTTTCTCAGCTGTGAAGAAAGATCATGGAAGGAAGCAGTTCCTGCTGAGGGTACATCTGGGGCTCAGTCCCATGTTTCTTCAGGCCTGGAACACACCAGGAACTCAAATTTGATTGAACCGGACTGGTCTGTTCCTCATACAGAACCCTGGAGCTCATTTTGAAAGGAGCTCATGTTGAGCTGGCTAGCTCTGCTCATGTCAAGTTTTTCTTTCTTTCTTTCTTTCTTTCTTTCTTTCTTTCTTTCTTTCTTTCTTTCTTTCTTTCTTCCTTTCTTTCCTTTCTTTCTTTCTTTCTTTTTTTTACTAAATACATTAAACAATTATAGCTTAAGTAGTTAATTATTTAAAAAAGAAACAAATGACACTGTGCCTTGGTCAAATGGCAAAGCGGAGGAGGTAGACGCACTTGAATATCTGTTCCCTTTGAAATCAAGGTTGTCATTGTTTAATACATAGAGATAAACACAATGCAGCTCCTATTTATCATCCACAGTTGAGCTTTTTAATTGGTTCCCTTGAACCACAAGAATGTCAAAGTATTCTTTTTTCCCATTAGAACTCAATCAAGGCACCATTTAATTTGATTTTTTGATATGACTGGCTATAAAATTTGTTTTAAATTTTTTAAAAATTATGTGTATGCATGTGTGTCTGTGTATGGCTAGGTGCACATAGGAATAGGTGCCCTCGGAGACCAGAGCTGTCAGATCCCCAGAGGTGCAGGTGATTGTGAACCACTTGATGTGGGTGCTGGAGACTGAGGCAGGGCCTTCTGCAAGAGCAGCATTCACTCTTAACAGCTGAATCATCTCTCCAGCTCCTAAAATTCATTTTTAAAATACTATAAAAATTTTAAAATACTATAAATATAAATGTGTTATGCTGTGTCTGGAGTGCCACAAATTGGACCCGCTTGAATTATACAAAGAATTATTTAAATGACATTAATAACTGCTTATTTAAAGAATGAAAGTGGCTTGCATTATTCTTTCAGCTAATGATTGAAGTCCTTCTTTAAGTGCATTTAATTTGGATACAGGCAGAATTAGGAAGTTTGGAGGGGGTAAAAGCTCTAAGACACTGTCTGGTTAACTCCCACATCCTAAGATCCTACCCTCCACATCTACCCCACAGAAGAAATAGCCATGGCTGGAGACCAATGCCCTGAACTGTTAAACCATATTTTTCTATACAGGTTCCAGAAATTAAGAACCATATAAGCTAGCTTTCTATATTTACAAGGAAAAACAAGGTGAATATCCTTTGGGAACCTTCCACTAGCAAGTGCCATGTACTGCCTTAATTAAGACAACTGGTAGAAATGAAGGTACAGTCGGGGCAACAGGAAGCATCGCATCAGCACTTAACTGAGGTCAGAGTCTAACCTTAATGAAATAATTGATTCCAGCAACGACTTGAGTTTTGTACTCGACGGCTTCAAATTTTTCATATTTCGCATTGGTTTTCTCCTCAAGTTGTGCTTTGACCTTATGAAGAGAAAGGAAGAAAAGATGTTAGAGCTGTGTTGACTGCTTACGTGAGCTACAAATCTGGGAACCTCATACAGGTGAGAGTCCTCAGAGATGCTGAGGAAGCCTAGCAAGGTGGCTTGAGCCTATAGTCCTGGAACTTGAAAGACTGAGGCAGGAGTGTCCAGTTCAAGAGCAGTTTGGGCTACATAGAAAGCTCCAGGCTAGTTGGGGCTAAAGATTGAAACCTCACCTCAAAAAATCAAAATAAAACAATCAACTAAGTGAAAAATGATGCAATCTTTTTTCCACAGAAAACACTTTAAGAACGTTACACATGTTAAAAAGTCAAATTATATTGCATGAGGCTGAATTAATATCAAATTAGTGTAGTATTACAAAATAGTCACAATTTAGGACCTCCAAATAGCTTAGCAGGTAAAGCCACTTGTCACCGAGAAAGCATAAGAACCTGGATTCCATCCCTGGGACTCACATGGTGGAAGGAGAGAATGGTCTCCTGCAAGTTGTCCTGTGGTGATCTACACACACACACACACACACACACACACACACACACACACACACACACACTCTCTAAAAACAAAGCAAAAACCAATATAGTCACAATTTGCAATAAAGAGCTCCAATAGTGACATCTATATTTGATTAGTAATTAAAAACAGGGCAGCAGCAATTACTACTTAGCATTTTAAACTGAATGCCCAATTAATGGTGAAAATAATGAATTGATTTTAAGCAGTTGTAGTTCCCCCTAATGTTTCCGTCTTACACACCCACACCCATTCTAGAATCATCCAAGTCAGAACATTACAATGGAACATTATCATTAAGGAATCTATAGATGGTTTCATCTGTCTCTCAAATGTCCCCTCTCCTTCAGGATCCAGCACTGCACTGGACATCATGTCTTCTCAGTCTCTCAGTGGGGTTAACTCCGGTCTGTCTTTGTCATTCCAATCCTGACTCCAGACTGTCAATTTGTAGAGTGTCCCTTGATTGGGGTTGGTCTGACCTCTCTTATGCTTACATTCTATGTTCTTTACAGCACACACTGGTGTGCCTGAGTGCATTGTATCAGGACCCACAGCTTTCCTTATCGCTGATGGAGGATATTGTCACTTGGTTAGGCTGCCCAGCAGGTCTCACTACTGTAAGTCACTGTCCTACCCCTCTGTGATGAAGGGGGAAGCATGCTTGGACCACACAGCAGTTTCTCATCACCCAGGAGACTTTTTCTCATTGGGCCTTCATCCCTAACCTTGGCATCTTTCTTGACAACGATCATTACTCTGGCTTTTGCCAAAATAATTTAAAACATTTTTCTCCCATTCCTTATGCATTTGTTGATTAGAATTCTCCTGTTAGGAAGGCCTGTCCCCTCTCCACTCCCTGTTTATTTAGCCCTTGTTTTTATTACTATGATTTACATATGCTTCTCTTAGTCCACAGGTTGTAAGTTCGCCATGCCTTATTTATTTTTTTACTTATATAGTCCTTCACTTGTCTGTTGAGAGCCCCTCAACTTGGTGTCCTTCCCATGTGGCTTCATCATTTTAGGGGTCCTTCCTCCCTCTGTGGCACTACAGCATTTACCAGCCTCTTCTCTGTAATTAACCATTTCTCTGAGGGTGCCCTGGCTCCATTTTTGGAGACTGGCTAAGATCAAGGCAGTGTGCACACTCACTGTTTTATTGTTCTATTGCCTTTGTTCATACTCAGTGGAAAGCTACACAATGTATGTAGGCATACTAATATAGATATGTGTATCTATCAGTTCATCTGTGTATATGTGTATATGGGGTGCATGTATACATTCATGCGCATGATTATATATTCAGTGTGTACATGTAGTTGTGTGTGGCAGCTACAGTTGTCCCTTGGTATTGGTAGGGGATTGGTTCTGGGTTCCCTGTAGATACCAAGATGCTCAGGCCTCTTATGTTAAAATACCATGGAATTTACATGCACACTTTCTCACAAGCTTAAACTCATCTCTGGACAACTTATACCAACTAATACAGCAAAACACATAGTAAACAGCTGTTACTATATATCGCTTAGGAAATAATGACAACTGTCCAGGAACTCACTCTGTAGACCAGGCTGGCTTCAAACTCTGCTTCCCGAGTGCTGGAATTAAAGGTGTATGCCACACACACGCACCTCCCACCCCTCGGCAGTAACTCCTTTCTCAATTGCTGAGGATGAAGCCTGGCTTGCATTCACAATCTATTTACTTGTTTAATCAGTCCTAATATACACATAAAACAGCTTTAGACTTCCTCATCTAACCCCCTTCCAAAAAATACATTTATAAATCAGAATATAGGATTTTCCTGTGGTTTTTTTTAAATAAAGATCCTGTGAGTGCTTTGGGCACATCATCTTCCTGCGTCTGTCTGATCACATCGGCAAAATTGTGTTGCCTTGTGAGAGAGCACATTCCCAGGTCCCAGGCATTCAATGCAGATTGTGTTAGAGCCGTCACTCCGTCTGTGGCAGGGGCCAGCATTGCTGAGGAGTTAGCCTCACATTCATTGTGTAAACATTTGCCGAGTGTTCTGTACCCATCCTTTCTCAGGGGCTCAGCTGGACCCGATAGGCTAGAATCTACTGTGATCACCCGGGCTCGATTTCTGCTAATTCTCCAGGTTTCCGCTAGGACAGAGAAGGAGTGATAGCTCATGTCTCAGAGTGGAGGATGATGAGGGGAAGGACCCAGCGGTGGTCCAGCTGTTGGCCGTACAGATCCATCAGCACCCCCCCCCCCCCACACACACACCTCCACACCCCGATCTCTTGACTGAGTCCTACCCTTAAATTTTCTGGTGTTGCCAATGCCAGCCATCAGCAGTCTAATACAGCTCTGCAGTATGCATCTCCTGCTGAGGCTCAGGCTTACCCTTCACAGCTCAGCTTCATCTAGATGACTCAGTTTCCATCTTCTCACTTCTATCCATGTCCTTCAGGTAGTGTCCACTGACTTCCTGTTACCTTTCTGATAGGTGTTCCCCACAATCATTCCTGCCCCTAGGAGGGAAACTAACTCTGTCTTCAATGTATCTTCTCCATTGAGAAGTTGGCTCCCTGCCCTCTGGTGACGCAGTTAAGCACGCCTCCCTTCTGTCAGGCCTCCAGGGCACATGGAGTTCTCTCAGACCCCCTGAATCCTTCCCCTCGGTGGGTTGATGTTTTCAATCTTTCTCCGCTGGTGCCTCAGTTGACTGTTAGATCGATTTTCAAAGGTGTCTGCAGACTGAGTCCTCAGATTATTTTTGAAGTCCCAACACGCACCACCCATTTTCTCCCAAGGCCTTCAGGCTAGGTGGCATGAGAATAACTGCCTTGTTGAGCGTCAAGTGGAGAAAAGAAGACAAACAGGGGAAAGACTGGACCGGCAAGAGGCGGGCTTTGAGAGAGGAGCTGTGCTCAGCTGTGCGGAGAGAGGCTGAGTGAGGAGAAACATCTTGGATTCTCTGTGTCCTGAAGCTTTTGAGGGAAGGGCCCTGGCACCGGGTATCCACTGAGTCAGAAAGGCCTAATCTTTACACTAATCCCCAAACTGACTTATTTAACCTAACATTTCACAAGTAAGGAACTTGAGGGGAGGGTTAAAAATCATTCATCACTGTCTTAGCAATTCTAAAGCCCTTGTTTAATAGCAAGTAGCTGGGCTATGATCCTTCTGGCTTTTAGTCTTGGTTATTTATTTTGTTTTATTTTTCACTTGAATTGTGTGCCTGTATGTGGGCATGTACGTGAGAGTGTAGGTACCCCTGGAGTCCAGAAGAGGGTGTCAGATCTCCTGCAGCTGGAGCTGCAGGCAGTTTTGAGCTGTCTGCCGTGGCTCCTGGGAACTGAACTTGGGTCCTCTGCAAGAGCAGTACACACTCTGAACTGCCAAGCCATCTTTTTTTAGCCCCCGTCTTGATTTTTTTTTTTTTTTCGTTTTTCGAGACAGGGTTTCTCTGTGTAGCTTTGCGCCTTTCCTGGGACTCGCTTGGTAGCCCAGGCTGGCCTCGAACTCACAGAGATCCACCTGGCTCTGCCTCCCGAGTGCTGGGATTAAAGGCGTGCGCCACCACCGCCCGGCCGATTTTTTTTTTTTTTTTAAAAAAGATATGTTGTAAGGGCTTATTTCTGTCTCTCCTATTGATGGATCCAAACTGCACTTTCTTCATTGTCCTTGTGTAAATCACAGGCCCAGCATTTTCCCTGAGAGAACTGATTTCAAACGCTCTGGCTTGTTTCTCACAAGCACTGGTACCTGCCTGCTGTCCTGTTCACCGTGGAAGGGGCAGCCTCCATGCCCTTTGTAGGAACACAGATTTGTGTCCTTTAATGTGGGATGCTATGGACCTGGGTGCTGATGGGGAGCTGGGAGGTAGGGGAAGATGCAGGTGGAGAGATTGTTAGTGAAACTTTAAGATTCAGAAAGCAGTTTGGCATTGAGAGAACTTCGGTGTGTGTGTGTGTGTGTGTGTGTGTGTGTGTGTGTGTGTGTGTGTGTGTGCGTGGTACCAGAAGGCCAGGGCCAGCTGGGGATGCGTTTGTGGAGCCTGGTGTGACAGACAGGAACTGTGCTGTAGCCAGGACCTCTTCTCCTGATGTTGGCTGGAAACCATGTGTTTGTCACTTTGTCCTGAAGGGGCACCCGGTAAATACATTTCCAGAGTTGTTCCAGGTTTCCCAATTGCTGCAAATCTTGCTGAGTTGAGCTGTTCGTTTCCTAGAATTGAGCCATGGGGGCACCCGACGTTAGTGCATATCCCCAATCTGCCATCATTCGTCAGAGGAGAGTGGCCAGAGGGTGATGGCTACGAGGTAGACAGACACCATTTAAGGGAATTTTCCCGTAAGAAAAGAGAATTCAGGGAGCAGTGTGAAAATACGGTAAAGCCAGAGGGACAAGTCTTGTGGACATTTGTCATCTGATGACGTTTTTGAAGGAAGTATGAAAAGTGTGCCAGACACAAGAAAATGAAGCTACATAGACGATGGAAAGACAGTGTAGGACTGAAGCAATATGATAAACTGAGGTACTTCCTCGCCAGACGCCAGATGCCAGCAATTTTCCAAACAGAATAAGAACTGAGAAACCTGTTGAGGGGCCATGGGAGAATGGGGGGTAGGGGAGTGGGGGTGGGGACCACAACACACCACCACCAACAGTGGGGAGAAAGTATAGGTTTCTAGGAAAACAACAACAAATAGAACGGAAGGGACATTCTGCTGTCCCCAGGGTCCTGCTGTGACATGGACAGTCATTCATCACACTGGAATGGTGAGCTTCCTGTGCTTCTGTGACTTCCTGGAGCAGAAGTGGAGGAGGAGGGAGTGAGGGCCGTGGGAGTGACCTCTAATTGAAGACTGGAACGTCACAGCTCACAGGATCATGGGAATCAGAGTGGAGGAGTATATGAAAATATCCATCATGGACCAAGAGTATCCAGGCATGTTCTGATAAAGATGGGAGGGTAGATTTCCTGGGAACGCTGGTGCAGCTGAATGCAGGCCCTCTTGGGATGGGACACCAGAAGTGACTGACTAGGAAGCTTAGGTTGGAGAGAAGAACCTAAATCTGTAGACGAGGTCAATGACATGCTAGAGCTCAGGGTGTGCTCAGTTGTGCCGATGAGGTGTTTGTGTGGTGTCCCAGCCAACAAGCTCATGCTTGCTTAGTGTGTTTGCCAGGAATGGTGTTCAGCAACCAGGTTTCCGACGTGAAGACAAGCATGTGTACTGTGCACATACATTTGCATGTGTAATCATAGCCTTTGCTTCTAAAAATAATCACTAAAATAACATTTTGTTCCCTCAGATAAACATACCTGGAATTCTCTTCCAGTGGCTACTTACATCGACAATCAAAGATCACCAACTGCAATCTGAACTTGCTGTTGTGGCCATCTGCTTATTTTGGTCTTCATTGAACATGTTATGGTTTCTCATGAATGGGAATGAATGTGTATGCCTTTTAAACATTTGTAACAATCTTTTTTGTTTTGTTTTGTTTTTTCGAGACAGGGTTTCTCTCTGTAGCCCTGGCTGTTCTGGAACTTACTCTGTAGACCAGACTGGCCTCAAACTCGCCTGCCTCTGCCTCCTGAGTGCTGGGATTAAAGGTGTGCGCCACCACTGCCAGGCAATAATCAACATCAAAGAAAAAAAAATCACTTGTACATTTGTGTGTGTGTGTGTGTGTGTGTGTGTGTGTGTGTGTGTGTGTGTGTGTGCGCGCGCGTGTGCGTGCGTGTTAATATGCATGTGGACATCAGAGGACAACTTTTGGAAGTTGATGTACTCCATCATGTGGGTTGGGGTGCTGAGCCATCTTGCCACCTAATAATCGATGTCTTCTGAATGACAGACTTTAGGGAAAATTCTCCCATCCTCCCAATACCAAAGCCTCTGCCTGCCTTCCTGTGGGTTTGATGGTCAATTTCTGGAGCATGCAGGTGTCCCTTCCCTGAGGTACTCTCTGTGTGGTGACCTTTCCTCCTCCCTCCTCCCCTTCCTCCCTATTAGGGTCCTCCTTCCATTGTCCCCCCAGTACCAAGTTCTCCGCAAAGGGCAGAGACAGCCAAGAGTTGTCTCTCCTAAGAACATTTAACAGTGGATTTTTAAAAAAATAAAAAGAATATATATATATATATATATATATATATGTAAGGTATAAAATATATATATATTTGTAAGGAATAAAGTACAAAGTAAATGACGGTAGTGGAGATTTTCTCTGGGACCCCTTAAATCATTCTAGGGATGCAATAACCGCCTCTGATCTGACACTGTGTGGGGGGACCCAACCAACTCTAATCATGGAGGAGTTGATTCCATTTCCTGACTTAACAAGGACTTCCAGTAGGATCTGCCTTGTGGGGTTCTTTGGAGGGGGAATGATTGATGTGGCTGAGAAGACGCTCCCGACAATATACAGTTTGCTGCCTGCCTCTCTGCCTCCCAACACTTAGCTGAGAATTGTCCCCTGTAAGACAGGACACGTGAGCGGTATCTGGGAGCTGAGCCACCACACTGTACTTGTTCACCTGACAGATAGTAAAGGACTTGATAGCCATGCCGAACGTCCTTTTTGGTCTTAAACCTATGATAATGAAAGCGTGCTTAATTAAGTTTTATTTTATAACATACCCCAGACATCTTGACTTCCTCTATACTGTTCATTTCTCAGGAGCAGAGCCATGTCTTATAGCCCTTTATGCAGCTTCTACAGTTTGTAGCCCAATGCTAGACACCTAGGAGAGACTCAGGAAGTGCCTCTACCATGAAATGGTTCATGCCTACGAAACTTGCATTGTGCTTTAAACTTGACGCCACCAAGGCTTGCGTGGAGAAGGCAAGTTTGCTGCATTCCCCCCCCTCATACCTGCAAAAGCTCCCCCATGTGTTGAGGCTGCGCAGTGGAAAGGACGGATTACCTTCTTGACTGGGTGACTCTCAAGCATTTTGAATCTTGGTTTCATCATCTAAAAATGGGATGTAATCCTTTGCCTGCTCCAGGGCTTTGAGGATCAGTGGGAGGGGGAATGAAAGTGAAGGTTTTTACAGTAGTGAGGCTCCTTCCTGGGGTGGGGTGGCCTTGTAAAAATCTATTTCTCATTCTGCGTCTATGAAGCTGCAAGAGCACACTGCTAAATTAATGTTATCACTGAAGACGTGGTCAACAGATGGCGTCATTAGCAAGGGAAGCCTTTCCAGTAGCTTCCTAACTTTGCAAAATTATAGGATCAAAATACATTGTGTATGTGTATAGATATGAGATTCTCAAAGAACTAGTAAAAATATTATATTTAAAAACTATCCTAGCTAGGCAAGATGACACACTACTCCTGGAGTCCCAGGTACTTGTGAGACTAGAGGCAGGGGGATTACTTGAACCTCTGAGGCTGGGACCACTTGGAGAAACAGCAAGACCCCTCCCCCATCTCAAAAAAGACCAATTGTTCTAGCTAACCAGGTGACCAACTCTTAAAGATCATTAAAACCTGCTGTATCTTCTATATTTCAGACAACTATATTTCCCTATCTGTCCCCCATAGCTCTGGTTCCTGGAACATCTCAGGGGAACTTTTCAGGTTGGGGATTTTTTTTTCTGGCGACATAAACAACAGTAATGCTTCATCTGTGATATTTGTTTTTGACACAATTTTTATGCACATTATTTAGTTCTTTTAGCACTTTCGTCTTACAAATGACACGGAGGACCTTTTCTTGGTACCCTATTTTAAAATCCCATCTCTCACAAGCCTCCTAGGATGCCAGATATCTGGTCCTACAGGAAAGTGAAGTTGTAGGTAGGAGCAACCACAGCTCCTGAGAGCCTGGAAGAAATGTGGACATGCAGGCCTGTCCAGCCCTCTTCAGTCAGATCTGCATTTTATCGAGGTCGACAAGTGACTCATGTCACATTCAAGTCTGAGAACACCAGCTCGATGTGAGGATTCTAATGAAGGTATAAAGATTTAACATCATCTTCTTCAAAAACAAAATGCTCCCAGGTATTTATTGAAATAAACTTGTGAGTGAGAACTATTTAGCCTTTAATATTTAGTCACTGAATTTTAGGCCTGTGACCTCCTCTAGAATGTTCAGTACCTTAAATATGAAGGCTCCCATCTCTTCTACTCAGATAAAAGACTAGGATGCCTAGCACCATGATGCATGCCTGTAAGCACCATGATGCAAGCCTGTAATCCCAGCACTCAGGAAGTTGAGGCAGGAGAAGTGCTGCCGTGAGTTTGAAGTCAGTCTGGATTACCTAAGTGCTAGACCAGCCAGGACGTAGCCAGACCAGGTCTCAGACAAACAAGCAAACAAACAATAGACAAAACTGATCTTGTCTGCCAGGATGATATTTCAGGGAGGAAAAAAAATGGTGTAAGAAAATAAGGTGACAGATTGCAAACCCACACCCGTAATTTGCATGTATTTCTCTTTTATAAAACATGCAACACAACACATTTTTTATATATATAGATGATAGTTAAGCAAGATGCATTAACTTGCCGGGCGGTGGTAGCACACCTCTTTAATCCCAGCACTCGGGAGGTAAAGCCAGGCGGGTCTCCGTGAGTTTGAGGCCAGCCTGGTCTACAGAGCGAGATCCAGGACAGGCACCAAAACTACACAGAAAAACCCTGTATCGAAAAACAAAACAAAAAGATGCATTAACTTGCTAAAAACATTGAGTCCTGTTTTGCCTGTAATGGTGTGGCGCGCATAGCATCCTGGGAATTAGCTCAGGAATCCTTAACAGCCTTAGGTGCCATCACAGTTGGCTTCAATTAGTGAGAATGGACAACTCTGTGAAGAAGCACATTAGAGCTCTTGGGATCATGCTTGTAAGTAAAAGGTTTAGAGACTTTTTTACAAGTTCACCTTCAGCAAATGGGGAAACTGAGGCTGCAATAAACGACTTGGCCAATTTTACTTGTGGAATGTTGAAGTTTCTCTGGAAAGACTTAATGTTCCACCTTTAGCTGCACAAGAGTCTGAATAAAACCCACACATATCTGGTTTCTGTGGTTTCCCACACTCTTAACACAGGGCCAAATTACGAACCAAACGATGAAAGTCCGATGTGGGATCAAACTTTTTCCTGAAATGCACCGACTCACCTGGTCAGTAATCTCTTGGATTTCTGGAGTGGCAGGTCTGGCCTCCGTCAAGCCTCCAGGGATCATTCTGGTGACTGGCTTCTTCGCTGGGCAGGATGCAGAGAAGATATGATCAGGCAAACCCGGGGACTCAGAGTTTTAAAGGTGCCCATAAACTCCTCCTATATAATGTATTAGCTCCCACAATAGCTGAGGGATGGAGGAAATGAGTGTGGCCTCCGGCAAGTCTTATTGCCTCACTGAGACAAAACGCTGAGTGGAGTTGGGGAGGGGAGGCCGCCACTGAGGTGGGGGTTGTGAATTCTGGGTGTGCCCCGAATTCGTGCGTGGTTAGTAGAGGTTCCTCCCTGCGATCTGTGCCAATTATTTCATCCTGTGGTGTCATATATATGAGGAGCAACATGTGTAGCCAGAGTTTCCAAATATGCTACACCTTGAAGAGTTCTTTTAAGAGAATACTTAATAATGTCAAGTCGGGTGGCTTAGAATTCACTCAGCTTTATAAAGACAACAAAACTGTCTATCTGGAGAACTTTTCCTTTTAGTTTCTAAAATGCTTATCCCCAAACACAAAGAATGAAATAGCAAACATCTTTATTTCTTCTGCTGTTGATTCTCTTGTTTTTTATTTTATTTAAGAAATTTTTTTGTTCATTTTTACATACCAACCACAGATTCCCTTCTCATCCTCTTCCTACTCCTCCCCTGCCTCCCCCCTCCTCACCTCCCCATCCTCTCCTCCAAAAGGGTAAGGCCTCCCATGGGGAGTCAGCAAAGCCTGGCATATTCAGTTGAGGCAGGACCAAGCCCTTCCCCTCTGCATCAAAGCTGAGGAAGGCATCTCACCATAAGTAATGGGTTCCAGAAAGCCAGCTCATGCACCAGGGGTAGATCCTGATCCCACTGCCAGGGGCCCCTCAAACAGACCAAGCTACACAACTGTCTCCTGTATGCAGAGGACCTAGTCCGGTCCCATGCAGGCTCCACAGCTGTCGGTCTGAAGTTTCTGAGTTCCTGTGAGCTCGGTTCAGTTGTCTCTGTAGATTTCCCCATCATGATCTTGACCTGCCTTGTTCATAGAATCCCTCTTCCCTCTCTTCGACTGGACTCCCAGAGCTCGACCTGGTGCTTGGCTGTGGGTCTCTGCTTCCATCAGTTACTGGATGAAGGCTCTCTTTGTCCAATGGAGCTGGGGGTTGGGGGGTTCTGTGTCTCAAGGAGCCGCTGAGGTCTCGGGGGTGGGTTTGGGGACTGGAGTGGGATTTGTAGATTATAGGATTACAGGGTCCGATGAGGGGTGGTGGTGGGCGGACCTCCTGCTGGAAGGAGTCTTGCTTACTGGCCTGCAATTGGGCCTGCAATGGGAGGGTGTCTTTTTTTTTTTTTTTTTAATAGAAGAGATTTCATGCATCCTGGGCTGGCCTTGAAATTACCATGAACCTTGAACTTCTGGTTCTCCTGCATCCACCTGCAGAGTGCTGGGATTACAGGCATGGACCATGCCCACTTATGTGCTGCTGGAGATTAATCCAGGACTTTTTGGAGATTAATCCAGGACTTCTTGGGTGCCAGCTCTGTCCTCTTCCAGCTGAGCTATGTCCCCAGCCTAAGACAGCTAGATTTCTGTCATTCGGAACTAAGTGTTTTATGTGCTTCACGATTCTTTTTGTAGTTTTTCTTATTGTTTATTTTATTTTTTACAGTTCAAGCTGGCCTAGAATTTATTATGTAGACCAGACAGGACTTGAGGTCTGGTTCCTCCTGAGTGCTGAAACTGAAAGTGTCTATCACCTATGGAGGAAGCCCTACCCCACTCCAACCTTGTCAGCCCCAGAGTTGAGTTACACCGTGAGTGTGTTATCCCTGTAGTCTGTTTTAATAATCTGAGGCCAGAAGTGTCGGATCTGGAGACAGAGTTACAGATGTGTGTGAGCTGCCTGACATGGGTGCAGGGATCTGAACTCTGGTCCTCTGCATGTTATAAACTGCTGAGCCATCTCTCCAGGCCCTATGCTCTTTTTCTGCTTATCACATTTTTGAGTCTTTCTGTACTCAGATGAATTAGCCAAGTTCCTTTAATGGCCCTTCTGTTCATTCTCTCTAACTGTGATATGCTACCTCACAGTTCCAACATGCCGTCCCCTGGTGAGAAGGGTTTTGGTTGTTCTAGATATGTGTATTTCACTTTTATCTTAATTTCTATAAATGTTTAAAATACATAATAAACACAATAAAATAACTCAGAACTGAACATGTCTGCTTCTTTTCTCTCTGGTGGAGTTGTCCCAGTGGGCAGGGAGAGATGGGCAGCAAGCTTTCTGTCCCCTCACTGTGCCCTATTCCCTGTTATGCCTAGCTTCCCTCTTGACACCCAGTAGTTCTAAAGAGAAGCCCTGCCTTTTAAATAGTTGGGATATTAACTGATAAGGCCAGCCTAAAAATATCAAACTCTTCCTAAAACAAACAAACAAACACAAAGATATTAACTGACAAATCACCTTTCTTTAGATTTACAGAACCCAGAGTGTCTGGGAATCTTTAGATAGCATCAGAACTGTATACTTGCTCTTTAATTAATCCTGTGCATCATTTGACACAGCATGTAGATTTCTGTGAGTTTTGACTTACAGAAAAGAAATATAGCCATTTAAAAAGTAAAGGGAACTTGGCTTGAGAGGCCACTGTCTATTGAGATGTCCTGATGCTTTGGAGAAGGAAAGCTATGTTCCCTGAATGTTGCAGCCTTCTTAGCCTGTTCTTGCTTTTCTTCTCTATACAACCCCTTTGTACCCCGAGGGTTGCCCTTGGGCTCCTCCCTACCAGCTCTCATCTCCTAAACATTGACCTTCAAGCAGTGAGAAGCCAGGGTTTCAGCAGCAATGTGAACTTCCTAAATTTCATTTATCAGTTCAGACACAATGAATTTTTATTGCTCCGGTAAAAATGCCTGTGATTGTAAAAATGTAAGAGTTTCTGTTTATGTTAGCTACTTTTCTAGTTACTGTAACAAAATGCCTAGAAGAGCAACTTAAGGAAGGCCGGGCTTATTTCGGCTCATGAGTCCATCACAGCGGGGAAGGCATGGCGGTGGGTGTGAGACAACTGGTCTCCTGGGTCTGAAGTCAGGAAGCAGAGAAGGACGAATGCTGATGCTCAGCCCATTTTCTCCTTCTTATTTAGTCTAGGCCCGTGGATGGCATGGTGTCACCCATAGTTAGGATGGGTCTTCCCATCTCAATGGACCCAATCTAAACTTTCTTCAGTGATACGCCAGAGGTTTCCAGTTTTCAAGGTCTTTCTAACTAAATCCCACAAAGTTGCCAGGATTAACCATCATGATGTTCAACTAAATGGAGTTCTGATAACTGATTGATTGATTTTCACTGGAGACAGAGTTTTGCTGTTATGTAGCCCAGGCTTTCCGTGAACTCCCCATCCTCTGCATCTTAACCTTGAACTCATGATCCTTTTGAATCTACCTCTAAAATTTTGGAATTATAAGCTTGTGCCACCATGTCCAGTGCGAATATCTGCCGTTGTTAAATGGCTTGTTCTTGTAAATGTCTTTGCTGATTTTCAGACTCAGAAAATGAGGATGTAACTCAGTGGTAGAGCTCTCTGCCTAGCTTGTTCAAGGCACTAAGTTCAATCTCTAGTACCACCAAGAAAAAATATTTTTTTCCCAAGGCAGATCATAGAACTCTATCCCTTCCCTTGAAGACAGCCATAAAACCTAGAAATCTTGTTGAAACCTTCCCCTGGTCTTTTGTGTAGGAACTGGAACCTTCTCTTGCCCTTTTGTGTAGGAGTTGACCCTGAGCAGGAGGTGGTTTAGCCTCATTGTAGTAGGTCATAAAACCTCCACTCTAGGAGGGTTCTGCCCAGTGCCGTAGAGATGGACTGCCTCACATACAGACCGAGAATCTGAACAGACCAGCCTTGCTGGTTTACCTACATAGTCTTTCACCAGCAGGCTATAAACTTCCTCGTCCAATCACATTGCAGTTAGCCATCCATTTTTGGCCAAAGAATAACATTAAAAATGGACAGCCTTTCCTGGCTATGTGGGTTTTCATTTCCAAAGTTTCCTGTGCCATGTAAAAGTCTGATTACAGAAACCTGCAGTGCCTTTTCCCCTATGCCATCTTTTGTCACAGCAGTGTGGGCCCTAGAAAGAAGGGGATGAGCATTAACCCCTTACATGCCCCTACCTGACCAATCATTAGAATGATTCCTTTTGTGCTGAGTCAAAAGTTCGAAATGCTTCTTTGACAGAACTTTCTTTTAAAAAATAAACTTTTTTTTTGAGACAGGATTTCACTGTGTAGGCTGGCATAGAACTTACTCTGTAGACCAGGCTATCCTTGAACTCACAGAGATCCACCTGCCTCTGCCTCTCACGTGCTGAGATTAAAGGAATGCACCACCACACCTGGCTGACAGCCTTTGAAGGTCAACATTGGTTTCCCTGTGGTTTGCCATACAACACAGACAATAAGCTAAGGGCCAAGGTAGTAGCTCCCCCTAACATTGGCAGAAGAAGGAGAAGTGGTTGAGAATAAGGGAATATTAAAGATGAAAATCAATGGGGAATGAGAAGGAGTGTTATGAAACTCTGTCTTCTGGGTGTGACAAGGCCATCGGGCTCATGAACTCACTGCAGCTATGGTCACCTGCACAAGACCAAGCCAACAATATCAGTCAACATCCCGGCAGCCAACACTAATTCATAAGACATCAGATTAGGAAGAGAATGTCTGGGGGAGGTGTGGGGGGAGTGGGAGGGGAGAGCTGGAGGGATAAAATCAATGTCCTTTAAAAAGGAGAGAGAGAAAGAGAGATGTGGAGGGACCACAGTGGGACAAAGCAAGAAGCCAGACCCTGAAGTCACAACGTTGCTGGAGTAACTTGGGTTTGAGGCTGTTAAAATCTGGGCCAGAAGCCGTGGCTTTTCCGAGTTTGGTCACAGCTGTGGCCTTGGCATCCCCTTGCCTCGGGACTGATTCACTATTTGGGTTGGTTTTAATATCAATTTGGAAATCTAGAAATTCTAGAAGTCTAGAAAACTCTGGATTTAATAACAGCTGGGATCACCGGAGTAGAGAGCATTCCCTGAAGAACTGCGCTGATTGCCTAAACTGATAGGGCATAACCACCACCCCCGTTGCTGGCTGCAGCTTCTGGTGGGAGTCTGGATAAAAAGGGTGTGGCAGAAGGTGGATAACTGACTTTTGATTGCCTGGCCTTCCTGCTTGGCTTTACCCTGTTGCTGTTGCCGATTCCTCCAACGATATCAGAGGCAGCATTTCCAGGCTTCCACCGTGGACTAATGACAAGAGGCTCTCCGGGAACCTTCTAGGTTTTTGGTGCCAGAGCGCGACTACGTAAATGCTCAGTAAATATTGATTGACTAAACACGCGCACTCAAGTGCTCCATTTGGGGTGGAGCACTTTGTAGGTCTGCTCAACAGAACTCCCACCTAGTGTGGGAAGTGGAGCTAGCTCTAGGACTCATTGGGAAAGAGGATGGCGATGGAGAACAGGCAGAGATGGGCTCTGCTTCCTGTGACTGCCTCAGTTGGAACGACTCTTACTGACCTTATAAACTGAAATTCTATTTTAATATTAGCTGAGGGGGAGTATTGGGGGTGGGGTGGGGAGTAGGGGGGACAGATAGCTGAACATCGGCTTCCCTTCCAGTTCTTTTAAAGGAAAGCTACTGATTTAGACCAAGTCATATTTTCTTTTTCTTTTCTTTTTTTTTTCTTTTTCGTTTTTCAAGACAGGGTTTCTCTATGTAGTTTTGCGCCTTTCCTGGAACTTACTTTGTAGACCAGGCTGGCCTTGAACTCACAGAGATCCACCTGCCTCTGCTTCCCGAGTGCTGGGATTAAAGGCGTGCGCCACCACCGCCCAGCCCCCAAGTCATTATTTTCACATATTGAGAAAGATATTGAGGACAGGTGTAGCTAGAGTTTTCCTGCCTGGCCCACAGTCAGGACAAATCTGTCACCTGCCAGTCCCACAGCCGCTCAGACCCAACCAAGTAAACACAGAGACATATATTGCTTACAAACTGTATGACCGTGCCAGGTTTCTTGCTAACTGTTCTTATATCTTAAATTAACATTTCTATAAATCTATACCTTGCCACGTGGCTCGTGGCTTACCGGCATCTTTACATGCTGCTTGT